GCCTAAACCCTAAACCCGAAACCCTAAAACCCTAGGGTTTAGGGTTTAGGGCGTAGGGTTTAGGGTTTAGGGTTTAGGGATTAGGGTTTAGGGTTTAATGACCTGCTGCCGAGGCTCTGTTGTCACCGCCGGGCTTCTTGTCAGCCATGCTGGTGCCTTCTGGGCCCGGTGGCGCATAAACCCTAAACCCTAAACCCTAAACCCTAAACCCTAAACCCTAAACCCTAAACCCTAAACCCTAAACCCTAAACCCTAACCCTAAACCCCAAACCCTAAACCCTAAAGTCAGTGGCATCTCACGGGTTTAGGGTTTAGGGTCTCTCTGTCTCGCTCTGTCTCTCTCTGTGTAATTGCTCAGGGCAACAGCGTGACAGACCAGTACCAACCTAACCCCAGCGCACTACAAGAAGGGAGGAAGGAAACGCAGTGGCCTTCGATGTCGCGAGAGGCGGCCGAGGGTTGAGCGGCTCGGAGCAGCAAAGAAATGGCTGAGAGGCTCGCAGCGGTGGGTTGGGAGTCTGATTCCGGGGCCCGGGGCTTTCTTGGCCAACCTTTCCGCTCCTGCTCTTAGAATTTCTGGGCTGCTATAGAACTCTGACTGACATGAAACTGCGCAGTGACCCAAGACAGGGCTAGTCTTTCAGAACCGCGAGAGGTTCGCACGCCCATACTTCCCGCAAAGAGGGCCGAGCTGCTTCGCTGCGCCTCCTGCGCAGGAAGGACTGGAACGACCTGACGTGGAATTTGGCCGAAGCAGCCGGGATTCCGGACATAGGGTTGGGGGTGTGGGATGATGACAAATGGGAAATGGCTACAAACCGCCACTGGATCGAAACCCTCGAAACACCACAGGCTCTAAACCTACAAAGCAAACCAAGAAAACAACACCATGGAGCTTAAAACCGTATCCTTGAATGTGCCGAGCCCATCTCTGTCCCCCTTAAAGTCCCAAAGCACGCCATATGCCTCTAGCACCCAATGCACTGCAGGCCTCTTCATTTACGCCCTAGAACCCGCTTTCGCTTGTGGTGTGCAACCTGGGTCTCCGCCCTATGCCCTGAACCCTTTTGCCCAATGAAAGATACATTCACCTGGAGACATGTGAGGGTTCCTGCAAAAGAGGGGGCACCCCATAATACGGATAAGAGTATGCTGGGGGAACGAAGAGTACTCCCATTTTGGGAACTACCCTAAACCCTAAACCCTAAACCCTATAAACCCTAAACCCTAAACCCTAAACCCTGAACCCTAAACCCTAAACCCTAAACTGGACGGGGCGGCCTCTTCTTCGGCCGGGCTTGGGGCAGCCCGACTGGCCGCCTGGCGCCCAAGCTGGCTCTACACATGCCCCGATATGCTGGTTTTGGGTTTTGGCCTGCCATTAGGGTTCAGGGTCTTGGGATTCGGGTGTTAGGTTAGGGTTGTAGGGGGAAGGGCGCAGGGCTTCGGTTGTTGGGGCCACCTGCTTGACGGACAGGATTTGGGTTCAGTTGGGCCCTCCCCAAAGCCAACTCCCGATTCTAAGCCCCAAGGTGAACCCTAAGCCCGAAACCTTAGACCAGCCCTATACCCTAAACCCTAAACCCTAAACCCTATACCCTACACCCGAAACCCTAAAACCCCAAAACCCCTAAACCCAAAGATCCCTGAGCGCCGAAGGTCGGCCGTGAGGACTTGACAGGGTTTAGGGTTTAGGGTTTAGGGTTTAGGGTTTAGGGTTTAGGGTTAAGGTTTAGGGTTTCGTAAACGTCGCACTGCAGGGACCATTTCACCGGTACATGCTTGGAAAAACTCGTTGGTGTCGGCAAAATGGCTGCTTCCTCCCGGTTCTTTTGCAACTGTTGCCCCTGCCCCAAAGACCAAACCCTAAACCCTAAATCTTTTGCATCTGGCCTGCTGTCCCTATAAACCCTAAAACCCTTACACTAAACCCTAAACACAAAAAAACTACACAGAACGTACAAAGGGTTCGGGTTGCCGGAGGCAACAGCTGTGCGAACGCCGCAGGGATGTTTTGTGGCTAACTTCCTACATGAAGCGAAAACATTAGCTGTACAGTTCTGGGCCAAATGAAACCAAAAACTGGGGTTTAGGGTTTAGGGTTTAGGGTCCAGGGTTTAGGGTTTAGGGTTTAGGGTTTGTTTGATTGGCCGGAGAATTAAATTAGGAGTTTGTTTTGTTTTCTTTTTTGGGAATCTTGTTCGTTTTTGGGTTTAGGGTTTAGGGTTTAGGGTATAGGGTATAGGGTTTAGGGTTTAGGGTTTAGAGTTTAGGGTTTAGGGTTTAGGGCTTAGGGCTTAGGGCTGAGTTTTTTTTTTTGCCACCCGCCTAGCTGACACTCAGGCCACATTGCTGGGTTTAGTGTTTAGGGTTTAGGGTTTAGGGTGTAGGGTTTAGGGTTTAGGGTTTAGGGTTTAGGGTTTAGGGTTTGGGGTTTGGGGTTTAGGGTTTAGGGTTGAGGGTTTCGGGTTTAGGGTTGAGGGTTTGGGGTTTGGGGTTTGGGGTTTAGGGTTTAGGGTTTAGGGTTTAGGGTTTAGGGTTTAGGGTTTAGGGTTCAGGGTTTAGGGTTTAGGGTTTAGGGTTGTAGTAGTAGTACTGTTGATGGACGAAATCCTGCATGACTTTTATTACGCAGGTCATCCCTTCCAAACCCTGAATCTTAACATTGTTGTCCTTACAATGCCTCGAAACGGCACATGCGCGAATGACCGAAATCCTGCATCATCCACATGTGCACGCAACATTGAAATTTGAGGGGTGCGGGGAGCTCGATTACCAACCGTCGCACACGTGTAACGTAGGGGGTCATGCAGGATTTTGTCCATCCACCGTCTCAGACAAGATAATTTGCTGACTTGTGGCTGCGTGGCCGCCTTGGCCGGAGTTTCAATCATGAGAAGCGAGGCGTGTTAGGTTAGGACAGTGACGGCTAGCTCGATCTCGAGTCGCTAGGAAAACATCGACGGTGTGTTTCCTTCTCCGTCTCGGAATGCTACAGTGTTTTCCCTGAGGACACTACACTACTAGGGAGGGTGTTTGCTAGCTCGACCTCTCGTCGCGTGGAAAACATCGAAGGCGTGTTTCCGAGTGTTTTCCCTAACGACTCACAACACTACTAGTGCGAGCTGTACAGAACATGTCTTGGGAGTGAGCTGCTGTGTTAGACGTGTTTGGAGAGTTGTGAAGTTGCTGCGCTATGTCTTGTCAGCAGCATGTGCGTGCAGGAATTGCAGTGCTCTGTCTTGACAGCAACATGTACATGCAGTCAGCTGCGCTACGTACGCTGTGCGCATGTTCCATGTTCGGGGGAAAGGGCAAACTGGTGTCTTGTCAGCAGCATGTGCGTGCAGGAATGTGCGCATGTTCCATGTTCGGGGGAAAGGGCAAACTGGTGTCTTGTCAGCAGCATGTGCGTGCAGGAATTGCAGTGCTCTGTCTTGACAGCAACATGTACATGCAGTCAGCTGTGCTACGTACGCTGTGCGCATGTTCCATGTTCGGGGGAAAGGGCAAACTGGTGTCTTGTCAGCAGCATGTGCGTGCAGGAATTGCAGTGCTCTGTCTTGACAGCAACATGTACATGCAGTCAGCTGTGCTACGTACGCTGTGCGCATGTTCCATGTTCGGGGGAAAGGGCAAACTGGTGTCTTGTCAGCAGCATGTGCGTGCAGGAATTCCAGTGCTCTGTCTTGACAGCAACATGTACATGCAGTCAGCTGTGCTACGTACGCTGTGCGCATGTTCCATGTTCGGGGGAAAGGGCAAACTGGCAGATGTCTTGTCAGCAGCATGTGCGTGCAGGAATTCCAGTGCTCTGTCTTGACAGCAACATGTACATGCAGTCAGCTTACGTACGCTGTGCGCATGTTCCATGTGCGGGGGAAAGGGCAAACTGGCAGATGTCTTGTCAGCAGCATGTGCGTGCAGGAATTCCAGTGCTCTGTCTTGACAGCAACATGTACATGCAGTTAGCTGTGCTACGTACGCTGTGCGCATGTTCCATGTGCGGGGGAAAGGGCAAAATGGCAGATCACGCGCTGACTTGTTGGCTGCATGGCTGCGCGCGCCGCAGCTTCTAGCTCTCGTCTCGCAGCTTGACCTTCAGTGTCTGTCAGCGTCGCCATGCCGGAGGCTGGTTGGACCAAGATGTCCGAGAATGAACGCGGCCTGGCCAAGAAGTGGTACTCTCAGGGCAAGAAGCCGTCAGAGATCGGCGAGTTGCTCGGAAGGGACACGTCATCAGTGACCCGCTTGCTCTGTCTTCAGAAGCCTGTCTTGAAGCAAGGCCGCCCTTGCTCTCTAACCATGGCGCAAGTCGACTTCCTCGAGAAGAAGCTGGACGACATGATCGTGAAGGCCAATGGGCAGCGCACTGTTACCGTCCAGGACCTGAAGAAGACAACAAAGACCAAGGCTTCGTGCCGCAGCATTCTCAGGGCTCTGCACGATCGCAACATCTACTTCCGCAAGCTGCGGGAAAAGCCTCTGCTCACCCCCGAGGATGTCCGAGCACGCTTTCACTTCGCCAAGAAGTATCGCAGCAAGAGCAGGGCCTGGTGGGTCAAGAACGTTGATGCCTTCATTGATGGAAAGCACTTCCAGGTCTACCTGAATGGGAAGGAGCGCTGCCGGGCAGCGCAGCATGCCACATACGGCGCCTATCGCCGCCCTGGCAAGGGCTTATGTGGTGGGTATGTGAAGCCAAAGGCTGGCAACTTGCGTCACAACACCGGGGCCAAAGGGGTTCTCCTGCAGGTGGGCGTCGGGAAAGGTAAGGCTGTCACCGTGCACGAGGTCACCGATGGCCGCTGGAGTGGCCAGGCTGCCGCCAGCTTCTACCACACTTTGGCGCGTGACTTGAAGAAAGCTTCGCCCGCCAAACGCCGCTTCACGATCTTGGAGGACAACGACCCTACTGGGTACAAGTCGGCCAAGGGCATTGCTGCCAAGTGCGACGCAGGTTTACTTGTCTTCGAGATCCCAAAGCGCAGCCCTGACTTGTCGGTGTTGGATTATGCCATCTGGACCGAGATCAACAAGCGGCTGCGCCGGCAAGAGAGCAAGTGGACAAAGGGTAAGAAAGAAACGCGGGCTGCCTACATCAAGCGCTTGAAGCTCACGGCCCGCTCCTTGCCCAAGGATTTCATCCTCAACAGCATTGGCGACATGGCTCGGCGCTGCCAGAGGCTTTACGAGGCGAAGGGCTACTTCTTCGAGGAGGGCGGTTCTGACCCATGATGAGGCTGTTCTCACGCGGTCCTTTCACCTTCACCATTTGAAAGCATTTGAAGACAGTGCGCGTGAAAATCGGCCCAGCAGTAGAGCGCCGTGCTGCATGCGTTCGGTAGCAGCAGGCCTCATGCCTAGGGAGAGGGGCGTGGAGGGTGCGTTGAGTTGGCTGGCTGCTCGACTGCATTGGCTGGTTGCTCCACTAAGTCAGCTTGCGCCAGAAGCAGAAATGCAGCGTTTTCCAAGTTTCAAATTCAGTCGAAGCAGAAAATGCTGCGTTTTTCAAGTTTCAAATTCATTTCCATACTTTCAAATTAGTTTCAAAATAGTTTCAAAATCCAGTTGCAAAATCGCTGTTAATGGGGAATTACATTTTTCTACGCGCGTTTCTAAAAAATTAGGAATTCTCAGAGATTCCTCTTTTTCAAAAAACGCGCGCTGAAATTGCAGTTCCCCCTTAACAGCGAATTTGCAACTGGATTTTGAAACTAATTTGAAACTAATTTGAAACTATGGAAACGAATTTGAAACTTGAAAAACACGACATTTCTGCACCCGTCCTGGCCCCTTCATACAGGGCCCTCACACAGACTCCAGAGGTTGCGAGAGCTTGCAGTCTCCAAAGTGAGGTCCAAGGACCCCAGTGCTTGACAATGCCTGTCTGCAGTTCGGCCGTTCTGCTCCAGCCTGAGCCCACCGGTGCCATGGCAGCCTCGGACTCGAGCTCGTCGTCCTCTGAGGACGAGGCAGCAGCTGAGCCGCCGCCTGCAAGACCAGAGTGGTTGACGGAGGAAGATGACAATGCTCGCAGTATGGTGTACTTGGTGACGTTTGCAGCTGTGCTTGAAGCAACAGCCCTGCAGGCAGAGACACCGCTGAAGAGCCTGGAAGGGCTGGAGCGTGCAGACATTCGGGACGCAGTGCTCGACGCGGTGCAGCATCCTGCTGAGGACACCAACCGGCGTGGCAGAGGTCGTCCTCGGACGCAAGCGCTTGAGGCTGTGAAGCTTGTGGTGTTTTTGGAGGAGCCAAGACACTTCCATGTGGCGCTCAAGCTGACTTGCCTCAGCCGCTTCTTGCCGTTGAAGGCGGCCCTGCGACGCCGTTCTGGTCTAGCGTCTCACTGGAGCACATCCCACACACAATGGTGGAGCGTGGTGCGCTACGGCGTCTTTACGACTGACCACAAGCAGGCCGTTGACCTCACTCCCTTGGTCTGGCTGAAGGCAGCAGGTGCACTGGAGGGCGTGCAAGTTGGCCATGGGCCATGCCATGAGTACGTAGTGCCAGGCAGCAGCAACATCGTCCTGAACCTTTATGAGGAGGCGCAAGAGCCCTTCAATGCCAGCGCTTGGGTGAAGCGGCGCCAGAAGGCAGAGGTCCTGGCCAGCGCCCCTGGTCCAGGTAACAAGAAGAAGGCCAAGGTGGAGAAGTTCACCCCTCTAGACTTCACTGCCATGGTCCTCGAGAAGAACCTCTTGACGCCCAACGCCGTCCTCGCGTATGTGCAGGACCATGGGTCGCACGCGTGCCAGCTCTACTGCATGCGAAATCAGAAGCGCCTCCCTGACCTCATTGAGGGCGCGCTGCAGTGGCGGGACGCGAAGAAGCTGCATGCTGTAGAGCAAGAGACAGACTGGGACCTGCTACAGCGTCTGGCAGGTACTAGCTGCGCTTGCTCTGGACCGTGCTTGTGGTGGATGGCAATGTCCGATTTCTTTCGCAGGAATCAGGCGACAGTGGATGGGGAGCTATTGGCTGCTGCCTTGGCTCAGGTCATATGCCACGGCCCAAGCAAGACTCGCCGGGTGCCCCTTATAGCAGGGGTCACCAATGCCGGCAAGAGCTTGGTGCTGGACCCTCTGGTCAACGTCTTTGGTCGCAAGGCTGTGGACTTCTGTCCGGCGCAAGGTGCCAGTATGGCGCTGAGCTCCTTAGCAACTAGCAAGGGCGTGCGCTTCATTTATTGGGACGAGTTCAGCCCAACAGAGTTCGCGTCGCGGCCTCCACGCTCGCCCACAGTGTCTGCAGTCACCTTCAAGAAGCTTTTTGCTGGTCAGGTGTTGCGGGTTCAAGTCTCCCAGGCTCACCATGACGGCAATCCTGACTTCCGATGGACCCGTGGAGCGGCCTTGACTGCCCCACTGGATGGTCTCTGGGAAGTCACGCAACCTGTGACGCGCGAGGATGTCAAGCACATGCAGTCACGGGTTATCCAATTTGATGCGCATGTCGCTGTGGCTGGGCCCTTGCAGCCAATACCTCACTGCGCCGCAAGTTGGTGCAGGTTTATCGTGCAGGGCTCTGCGGCGTATGCGTCCAGGCTGTCGAGGGGTGTCGCTGCAGAGCCGGCGCCGGGACTCCCCATTGAGGATGATGATCTGTAACTGCCTAGTTTACGCTAATGACTGAATTCAATTTGCTTATGACCAGATCGAAGGCCAGGCATGCTTGCTCTGAAGAGCTGCAAGCTGGTCGCACGCCAACTTATCTCAGGAAAACGTATGTTGTTCCGCTGGTTGGCGCTGAATCTCTTGACTATTGGCCCCCAACAGCCCAGTCATATAGAACGGCAGAGCAACGACAACTACTCGTACTGTTGATGGACGAAATCCTGCATGACTTTTATTACGCAGGTCATCCCTTCCAAACCCTGAATCTTAACATTGTTGTCCTTACAATGCCTCGAAACGGCACATGCGCGAATGACCGAAATCCTGCATCATCCACATGTGCACGCAACATTGAAATTTGAGGGGTGCGGGGAGCTCGATTACCAACCGTCGCACACGTGTAACGTAGGGGGTCATGCAGGATTTTGTCCATCCACCGTAGTAGTAGTAGTAGTAGTAGTAGTAGTAGTAGTAGAAGAAGTAGTAGTAGTAGTAGTAGTAGTAGTAGTAGTACCAGTAGCAAGGACAAAAAACAAAAAAATCCCAAAAAAAATAGACCTCCTTTGTTTAGTACTGTAACCCCTCTGTAATCCCTATGTAGTAAAATATGACGTTTAGGGCACATTTGGTCCCCACAGTCTTGTGTTTTTCTGCTGAGACGGTTTCGCTCATAAGCGCTGTCCGCATTGAGCCTGCGTGGACCCAAAGCCCTAAACCCTAAACCCTAAACCCTACAATGCCACCATCGTCTCCTGAGCACACTTCCGGCTCTCTCCGCGGTCCGTGCGACGTGTCAATTTCTCACTTGTCTTCTTGGAAACTGAAACTCCTAAGGGTCCGTGTACCGAAAGTCCCTCCCCCCAAAAAAAGAAGCCCCCCCCCCCCTCCCAACTTAAGACCCCCTCAAACCCACAAACGGTTTTTAGTACAGTATAGGCGGGGGTGCAAAGCAGGGGGCTGCTTCAGGCTTCCGACCTCCCCGAACCCCCCCCCCCCCCCCCCCAGTTCGGTAGAGGTTTTCCTCGGGGCGAGTACAGGATCGGGTTTTGGGGTCAGAGGGCTTTTAGGATTAGGGGTGTTAATTAGTATTAGGGGGAGGGGATGATATATACTTGGACCTGAAACGGGTTCCTATATAGCAAATTTTAATCGCCTTAGGGCCCAAGTATGCAGGTACAAGGACTCCTAGGGAATTCCGTTTCGCCAGAGTTTTCAGCACACCGGTTTTCAGAGGCTTGCGCGCTGCTTGTTCCCCGACCCCCTCCTCCCCCCACAACTGTTAGTAATTGCATAACTTTACAATTTCACATTTTTATCTTATACATAACTTTATGATTTCACTTGTTTATCTTGTACATAATCTAGGCGGGATGCATATGTCTTCGAGACTCGGAACTCATCTGCCTTCTGCAGGGCCACCAGCAAGTCCTGACGGATTCGCTGCGGCTTAGCTTTCGAGGGTTAGGTCATCGCTTCGAAACAGGTTTAGGGTTTAGGGTTTAGGGTTTAGGGCTGAGGGTCCACTTCTCAGGTCGGGTGGCTCAGGCACCTCCCTGTCACGCACCCGTCTGCCGTAAAGCCGGTTCTCTTGCCAACTCCTTTCGGTGGAATGTTGCAACCCTCAAGACCTAAACCTACCCCAACCCCCCCCCCCCCCCCCCCCCCCCCCCAACCCTCCGCGTCCCGACTACTTACCCTAAACCCGAAACCCTAAACCCTAAATCCTAAACCCTAAACCCTAAACTTCCCTGGAGCCAGCAAGCAAAACGTTTTCGGGTCCTTGTGGAGGCCAGCGGGAAGATTGGGATCTCGCGGCAACCAGCCTTTTGACAGCATGCAGCATTGGATTTAGAAATCTTGGGGCCCTTTACAGAAATCGAAATCATTCTTGCATTCTGACATCTCGCATGGATCTCAACCAAAAAACCCTTTCAGAATCCGCCCCCCCCCCCCCCCCCCCCCCCCCCCCACCCTAAACCCTAAACCCTAAACCCTGAACCCTAAACCCTAAACCCTACCCCCTAAGGTATCCGACCATTCGAGGATGAGTTCGAGACTGGCGGGCGGCTCAGGGCTTCGAGTCGGTGGGAAAGGGCTGGACTGGGCACTTGAATTCACAAGAAGGGGATCTGTCAAGGCAATGTGAAGCCCCAAGGCAAGAAACGGAGGGTTCTCGAAGTCTTGGGGTTCCTGTTATCATGATTTTCGGGTTTAGGGTTTAGGGCTACCGCTGCTAATTGTGGGCTTGTGCTTATGCTGCTTTGTGTTGTGGGATGTGGGGAGGCGGGGGGGGGGGGGCATCATGTAGGGCCACCTCAAAACAAACACGAGCCTCCGTCCGGCGCGTCATCCATGACCTGGTTTAGTTCAGCCGGTGCACCCCTCATGCCCCTGATTGACAAGGTAGGCTTAGGGCTAGCCGGTAAATGTATGCAAATTACACTTTCAATTCTCTTCTATTTGGATACACCTCCTGTTTAATAATTCTCATTCCCTGCGGTTTTCTTGGGATAAGAACGTCATATGCCAGAATACTGCTAAGGTGACTACAGGCAAGTTTGGGGTTAGTGCAGGAAGGCCGGGAAGCGGAAGCATCAGGCAACTGGTGATTTGATTGGGACTAGAAACTACTGTCCGAAAAAAAGGCTGGTCTGCGAAGAAGAGTCGTGGGGACACAGCCTTGGGGACGAAATGAACCCTAAAATTGCGGCCATATACCCTATACTACTATAACTCCTATTAAGGTATATGAACCATAAACCCTTTCAGGGTTCATTTCGTCCCCAAGGAAGGGGGCCGGTGTGGAGATTGTATCTCCACACGCCCCGCTCAAAGTGCCGTAGCAGAGCGTTGGACAATTTACAGATGATGGTGGCGGATTCCACAGCGGATGCAGCGCACATCGGCACAAATTCTAGCATTCGCTTCCAGCCATGTGAATCTTGGTCTACACATTATGAGGCAATGACAACCAGAATTGAAAGAATAACCTCCTGCAAAGAAGGTCGACAGAACCTCGCAACGCAACCCACTACGAAACCCTCTCAGCCAAAAATGACTACATGGACCTAAATACGACGGGAGGATAGAACAATGTAGGCCCAATCTGGGGTATCCATTCTGGTGTCCTCCTAAACAAATTGTGCACAACCTAGGGGGTGCCCTTCTGGGGGTTCCTATAGTAAGGATTATACTTTTTTGGGGGTATATTAATTAAGGGTACCCCTCTTTGGGGAAATACCTATACGAACATGTATGCATGTATGGATGTATGTATGCACCAGCCCAGGCACCGCTCCCCACGGCGCAATCCCGCGCGCGGTGTGGGCGATACATGACTCCGAGCCCTATGGAGCTGCGAGGAGGAGATTGCGAAGCTTCGCGGCAGCATGTGTTCTGGGTCCAAGGTCGCAGGTTTAGGGTTTAGGGTTTGGGGTTGATATAGGGTTGAGGGTTTAGGGTTTGGGGTGCCTACTGTGAGGTCAACTAGAGTAACTAGGGGTGAGGGCTCCGGTTGAGGGTTTAGTGTAAGCAGATGGAATGCATAGCGGAACCCACTCTACCTTCCACCCGAAGACCCAAACCCTGAACCCGAAGCCCCATCAAACCCTCCCTCAACCTCTCCGACCCTAAGCCCTACAACCCCTGAAGCACGGCGGCTGTGGGACCACATGAACCCTAAAAGTGGGGTCCCTATACCCGATGCAACTACAACCCCTGTTTTTTGAAGTAGAAACCCCTAATCCCTTAAGACTAAAACCCAATTAGGGTCGCCTTGATTCTGATCTAAACCCTATAAACCCTAAAACCCTAAAACCCTAAAACCCTAAAACCTAAACCCTAAACCCTAAACCCTGAACCCTAAACCCTAACCCGGGAAAGAGAGGGGGGATTCGGCCCGCGGTGGCCAACCGCAGTCTTCGCAAAGCCGCGTCCAAGGCGAGGTCGCGAACAACTTGGGGCAAAGGAAGGGGTTAGGGTTTGGGGTTTAGGGTTAGGGTTTATAGTTTTTTTTTCATAGTTTTATAGGGTTTAGGGTTTGGGGTTTATGGTTTAGGGTTTAGGGTTTAGGGCAGAGGGTTTAGGGTTTGGGGGTAGGAGTTTAGGGCTGTTTGGTTTATAGGGTTTCGGATGTGCTTCGCTCCCGCATAGGTTTAGGCTTTTGGGTTTACAGCTGCTGGGGTGGGGTATAAGGTTTGGCATGAGGGTATTAAGGGTCTAAAGTTGAGGCTTAGAGGGCTTAGAGCTTGGTCGCTTTTAGGCTCCCGAGTTTGGGGCGTGGAAGAGTCTTGGGCTTAATGCGTAAAGCAAGAGTTTCAACTTTTGGGTGAATTCGGGCGCAGTCCCCCAACTACAAGTCAAGTGCCCCCCCCCCCCCCCCCCCCTCCCAATCCAAAACTCCCAAGCATGACGTTCTAACCCTAAACCCTAAACCCTAAACCCTAAACCCTAAACCCTAAACCCTAAACCCTAAACCCGAGGACGTCCTCGCAGGATCGGCCTCCTAGGCTCCCCAAGAGAAACACCCCAAGATGCACATCCCAAAGAGCCCAATACCCCTTAATTAAGGAAGACTCCTTAAATCCTATTAAGGATCCCTTTATGATTTAAGGTATATTAAGGAATACTCCTTAAATCCTATTAAGGATCCCTTTATGATTTAAGGTATATTCCTTAAGGAGTATTGGGCTCTCTGGGATGAAGAACCGGACGCGGACGCCTACCTGAAGGCTCCAATGTAGTTCCCTTTTTTTGGGTTCCTTATAGGGGGTTTAGGGTTTAGGGTTTAGGGTTTAGGGTTTAGGGTTTAGGGTTTAGGTAACCCCCCCAAAAAGGTACTACATAGGAGCCTTTGGGTAGATTCCTAGGTTGTCACCAGCTCAGCCATGCTATTTTTTTAGTGCGATTGCGGGGCTACTCAACACACCCAGTAAGATTTCTGAGGTCTGCAGGGCCTACAAGGTTTCCCTGGACCCTCTTTTATCCACAGCTCTATTGGTTATACCTACTAATTGAGGGTAGTCACGACCCAGCTGTAGGTAGATTTGGGCATTTCCGAAAAAAGGGGTATCCCAAATATACCCAATACTAGAATGCTTATCAAACCCTTACCACAATTTGCGGAAAGCCCCAAATAGAGTCCCAGGTCGTTGGTGGCTTGGGGCTTCGGGTCTTGGAGGGTCGGGGACTCGAGGGCGTCTGTGTCTGAGCACGCTGCGACCAACAACGTGGCAAACCTCACCGCAGAGAACCGAGAAGGGATGGCAACCTCAGCCCTCCAACCCTAAACCCTAAACCCTATAAACCCTCTAACCCCAAACCCGAAACTCTTTTTGGAAGCTGGATTCAACAAACCCTCAACCCCGGAAAGCCCGAGACAGGCCCAAGCCTCAACCTCCCCCCGCCCTGCAGTCCGAAAACCGAAGCCCTAAACCCTAAAACGACCTGAAACGCTACTATACTCCCCTTAGAACCTCAATCTGTTCCCTTGGGGTTGATGTAAAAAACACGAAATAGGCCTTAAGGGGGCTAGAGCCTAAACCCTACAAGGATCTCAAGCCCTCTGTGCCAGTAAACCTGTCAGATGCCCAACAACACAACGTCCCGAGACTTTGCCAAAGCCCCATGCGCACTTCATCGGTCAAAAAACCAAATCCCCAAACCCAACACCCCAAAAACCCCAAACCCCACAACTTCAAAAAAACAACAAACCCAAAACCCCAAAACCCCAAACCTCAAAACAATAAAACAAAAAAACAACGAACCCAAAACTCCCAAACCCAAGACACAAGTCCCGCAACTTCCCGTGGGCGGCCCCAAACCCTACCTGGGACTCTATTTACCTACAGCTTAGTAGTACTTCGCAGGTATAACCCATACGACTGTATGTAAAGAGGGTCCCAGCTACAAACCCTCAGCCTCTAAACCCTAAACCCAAAACCTTAAACCCAAAACCCTAAGCCCTAAACCATACTTTTGTTGGGGCGTCTCAGGGCGCCGCCCACCAAGCAGCAGCAGACAGCAGCTGCAGTAGCACATCTGACCCAGGGCTTAGGGTTTAGGGTTTGGGGTGTCGGTTTTACGGTTTAGGGCTTTGGTCTACTTTTGCCACCCGTCTGGCGACTGAGGGTTCAGGGTTTTGGCTTTGGGGTTTGTCTGGTCTAGGCTGTATCCTAAACCCTAAACCCTAAACCCTAAGCCCTAAGCCCTAAACCCTAAACCCTAAACCCTGAGCCCTAAGCCCTAAGCCCTAAACCCTAAAGGCCCTAAACCCTGTATAGTGTTTGGGGGTTTTTGGTTGACATGCTGCTAGTTCAGGGTGTTCTGAAGCGGCTCCGCGCCTTGGAGGTGTTCTGCGCTCAAAAAGAGGAGTGTCAGGTTCACACAGGGACCTTCTTCAAATTTAAATTGGGCTTAGGGTTTAGGGTTTAGGGTTTAGGGTTTAGGGTTTAGGGGATGTTCTTTACACTCCCCACCCAGTTACCCTTGTCCAACAACAACATTTTGGTTGGACATCCGAGAAGTTGCTAACATGCATGTCGTGCTGGCCCAACTGAAGCGCTGCAAGAAAGTGCGAAAACTCGCTGTTTTCCTGGCTGTTAGACTCTATAGAGATAGTTCACGTCATGCACATTTCTGGGCAGCTTTGAATTAAATACTTACGAGCACCCACTATCCCTCCATGCCCTTGTCTGGGGTCGTTTCCCACCCCTAAACCCAGACCCCTAAACCCTAAACCCTAACCCCTAAACCCTTAACCCTACCCCCAAGCAAAACAGGGACTCCCAAAACCAACCACAAGTCTCTTTTCCCGTGTAGTATCAAACCGAACCTCGAACCGCGCCGCTATTCCCTCCACTCCAACACAAAGGAAACTTCCGAGGCCATAGCTCGACACCGGCGCCGCCTTTGGTGATTCGGGCTTCAATTCATTTAGGGTTTCGACCTTGGGGACGAAATGAACCCTAAAATTGGGGGCCATATACCTCTACTACTAGAATTCCGATTAGGGTATATGGACCATAAACCCTTTTAAGGTTCATTTGGTCATCAAGGGACTCTCACACTGGCATGCGCGGGGCGAGGCATCGAACAGCAAGTCGAAGGGCTGAGCTGGGATTTGGGGCTTAAGGGTTTAGGGTAATCAGGGTAATCAGGATAATCAGGGTAATTAGGGTAGGGTTTATTTTCGGGTTTGGGACTTAAGAGTATACAGGATGTTGCTGGGGTGGTGGGGCTCGCCAGAAGCCAGATTCAGCCAGAAGGCTCACGAGACTGCTTCGGGGCTGTATTATTCTCTGAAAACGAATACCAAAGCCATAAACTCGCCTCCCTAACCCCCTAAACTAGACCCTAAACCCTAAAGCCTATACCCTAAACCCTAAACCCTAAACCCCAAGCCCGGAGTAGTCTTTGAAGCGATTTGGGTTTAGGGTTTAGGAGGGTTTAGGGTTGAGGGTTTAGGGATTAGGGTTTAAACGGTTTAGGGTTTAGGATGATTAGGGTTTAGGGTTTGGGTTTACAAACCTTGGGGACCACATGAACCCTAGATGGGTTTATGGTTCATCTACCTTGATATGGAATGTAGTACGTCATATGTAGGGTATATGGCCCCAAGCTTAGGGTTTGGAGGGTTTGCAGCTTTGGCTTGACAGTTGTATGGGTTCAGGGTTTAGGGTTGTACCGGGTTTAGGGTTTAGGGTTTCGGTCGGGTTAGGGTTTGCAAGGTTTTTAGGGTAGATCGGATAGAGTACCCTAAACCCTAAACCCTAAACCCTAAACCCTAAACCCCAAACCCTAAACCCTTTACTGACATGCGCCTGATTAAGGCCCATCCCCCGTCGGCCCACTACCAGGCTCTGCAGGGATCACCAGGTGAGGATACCAACTGTAGGGTTTAGGGTTTAGGGTTTAGGTAGGGTTTAGGGTTTAGGGTTGAGGGTTGAGGGTTTAGGGTTTAGGGGTTGCGGTTCTTGGGGTTCTTGTGTGCTGAGCTGTATTTGTAAGGAGCTTGGGGGGCTTTAAGACGTGCAAGCTGAGTGGATAGGTGCACCCCGCAAGAGTGCAAACCTAAGACCTATAAGCCCTCAAACCCTAAACCCTAAACACTCAACCCTAAACCCCCTAAACGCAAAAGATGAGAAGCTGTTTTCCTGTTCAATGTGTCGGGCGCGTGTCCAAAGTTGTATCTTGCAAGGCCATCTACCACGGGCTGGGAAGGCCGGTACAGGCCTTCCACGCATCGCCCCAAAAATGAAGGGCATCAACACATGCCTAACTCATGGAGGACACTCCCCGCGGACGTAGTAGCCTCGGATACTCTTGAGGCATGTGCAGAGGGTTTTCGGGATTCCGAGAGTGGCAGGTCTCTGGCGCTAGGATCCCTGATTCCGGGCGAGGCTGTGAGGGTTTAGGGTTTAGGGTTTAGGGATTAGGGTTTAGGGTTCAGGGTTCAGGGTTCAGGGTTCAGGGTTCAGGGTTCAGGGTTCAGGGTTCAGGGTTAGGGCCGTGGAGGGGGGGGGGGGGGGGGGTTAGTGAGCTCCGCGATGTGATATGAAGAGACAGGAAGCAACTCTTCAAGTACCCCTTGGAAACGAAATGAACCCTGAAAGGGTTTAGGGTTTAGGGTTTAGGGTTTAGGGTTTAGGGTTCAGATACCATAATAGGAACCATTGAGGTCAGGGTATATGACCCCAGTTTTAGGGTTCATTTGGTCCCCAAGGCCTCTTTGGGTGCGTGCTCCAAGAACTGATCTTCTCATCCTAAGCCCCGCCCTGAGCCCGGTTCCTAAGTCTAAACCTTAAACCGCCCGAACCCTGCTACTAGACGTTGTGATGGGTGGAACAAGGCTGTGGAACAAGAGTTGGAGAAAGGGGCAACAAGGCTTGGAAACAGAGGTTGGGTCTCAAGGTAAGGGAGAAGTAAAGGTACCAAGAGAACGGGAGACAAACATCCTGCCTTGAGAGTGAGAGAGATGTGTGCACCCAGAGTTGGCGTATTAAACTGCAGGGCTCAGTTTTCCCTTCCACAGCCTTCAGAGTTGTGGTGGTTTAGGGCTTGAGATGGTTTAGGGCACAGAGAAGATGCAGAATACACGGCTCGACGTCGATTGGTACATGACTAGACAAGGTTCTGGCAAATCGAAGCATTGCATAATGCAATATTCTAGGCTGTGCCCTAGACCCTGTACCTTGCCCTAAACCCCAAACCCCAGCCCCTAAACACCAGCTACAACAGCAAGTACACACACACACAGCCACACACACACACACACACACACACACCCGCGGCTGCGGAGTGATTCCGTTGCAGTAGAGAGGCCAAGTACTCCACTCCCATCGCCTTACTGGCTCTTCACGGGGAATTTGTGCTTGGGGTTTAGGGGTTTGCGTTTAGGGTTTACTCGGCGCTGTCTCTGAGTCCGAGCAACTGAGCGCTTAGGGTTTAGGGTTCAGGGGTTTATTTAGGAATTGGAGACGTCGCAGAGGGACATAAGGGACCCTAACTCCCCAATCCTTGATCAAGAGCTGGGAATAAGAAGCACCATAAGCCAAACACCCTACGAACCCTGTAAGACCTTTTCAAGAATTTCACTTCTATGGGCAGGCCCTAAACCCTAAACCCCCCTAGCTCCCTAAACCCTCAAAATCCTCTGCATCAGGCCCTATGAGACTGCCCTAAACCCTAGCCTAAACCCTAAACCCTAAACCCAAAACCCTCTGAACCTCCGAACTCCCTACCAAGAACGAGCAAGTCACCGGGGAGGCAAGCCCTGGCCGCACAGTTCGCTATATCGCACACTGCGCTTTTGCCGTTGGCCATGGCGCACCTGGGGCGGACGCAAAGGGTTTAGCGTTTAGGGTTTCGGGTTTAGGGGTTTAGGGTGTAGGGATGAGGGTTTAGGAACTATATGCCAAAAGACTTATATACACCCCACAACTCAACTGCACGCAACGCCTCTAAGACCTGAGGACATGTTGGAATCCCTGGCACCGTGTAAAGCGAAACCTGAACCCTAAACCCTAAACCCTAAACCCTAAACCCTAAACCCTAAACCAAAAGCTTCCCAATCTCTGAGAAGGCTCTTCGCGGCCGCGTGCATGCGTAGGCCCTTGACCGTGCTTTCATCTCGGCTTGCAGAGTTTGCAAAGACTTGCAGGGGCTTGGTTTAGGGTTTAGGGTTTAGGGTTTGGGTTTTGGGTTTTGGGTTTAGGGTTTAGGGTTTAGGGTTTACAAATCAACTCATCGAAGCGTTTAGGGTTTTAGGGTTTCGGGTTTAGGTTTTGGGATCAAGGGGTTGGGGCTGTGATCCCTGCTAAGCTTTAGGATTTAGGGTTTAGGCTTTAGGGCTATGAGGTCTATGAGTGCGCGGGTACGGTATCCCCTAAACCCTAAACCCTAAACCAAAAACCCTAAACCCTAAACCTTAAACCCTAAACCCTAAACCCTAAACCCTAACCCTAAACCCTAAACCCAAGGTTGAGGGACCAAGACGCTAAGATCCACAATGGCCCGCAGGCTATGGATGCCCTCTTCCAACACAGCTTCGTCCCTGTCGGACTCATCCATCATCTCCTGCGGAAAAAGCCCTCTTTTGGTTTAGGGTTAGGGTTTAGGGTTTAGGGTTTAGGGTTTAGGGTTGAGGGTTGAGGGTTGAGGGTTGAGGGTTGATGGTTGAGGGCTCAGGCTGGTTTGAGTACCATGATTTGGCCTGCGGAAACTTCGTTGTTCAAGTTCCTCTCCGGAAACCTGCACTTCCTGTGATTTGGGGTGGTTGCCTCGAAGATTTCTTTTCGGTTTAGGGTTTAGGGGTTAGGGTTAGGGTTTAGGGTTTAGGGTTTAGGGTTTAGGGTTTAGGGTTTAGGGTTTAGGGTTTAGGGTTTAGGGTCTAGGGTCTAGGGTCTAGGGTCTAGGGTTTAGGGTTTAGGGTGTAGGGTTTAGGGTTTAGGGTTTAGGGTTTAGAGTTTAGGGTCTAGGCTGGTAGGAGTCCCTCAAGATGGTCCCAGGGCCTCTTGCAAAACGCATGGGGCCCTGCGATCTAGCATGGCCATGTTCAGCAGGAATGTATTTAAGTTCCCCACATCCGAACAGAAATATTCTCTTAAACCTAATAAGGGAAAATAGCCAATTATCTCAAGGGATTACTAAACCCTAAACCCCGGAACCCTAAACTCTAAACCCTAAACCCTAGCAACAAGCTCCTCAACAGCAGCCCCCCCCCCCCCCCCCCCCCACCCAGAAAAATATAGAATAAGCATCCCTATATTTCCCCTTTCTAAGAGGCAGAGAGACCAGCAGTTCAGTTAGAGCCATCGCTGCCGACATGCTGGCCCACAGACCCTGCGGGGTGGAGGCACTCATGTGGCAGGGCCTCGGCCCGCATTGAGGGTCTCCATTATTGAGACTGAGATTGAAGGAAAAATACTTGTTATGTATTTCTCTTGTTTTTTTGAGGGGGGGGGGGGGGGGGAGTGGACTCTTAAGCCCTTTTGCAACGAGCTGCCCTAAACCCTAAACCCTAAACCCTAAACCCTTTTACATCCAGGCCTCTGAAGTCTGCCGGGTAAGTATAAACCCTAAACCCTAAACCCTAAACCCTAAACCCAAAACCTAATTAGTGGCTCCTTCATGCTGATGTTGTAGAACTCGGCATCCAATGGCGCACAGCTCTGTCTGGAGACCTCCAGCAGGTAGGAGTGGTTGTGCAAGGCCTGGTCCCGGTTCAAGTTGTACCTGTTTAGGGTTTAGGGTTTAGGGTTTAGCGGGGGGCTATATAAGCCGGGGTTTGGAGCGTGGGCTTTGAATTGCGGAATTTCGTCGGGTTTAGTCTGGGTCGGGGCAAAAGAGCGCACGGGAGCAGTCCAAGTTCGAGGTTCAGGGTGGAGAATTAGGCCTTCGATGGCTCAAAGTGCCCTGAGTCCAAAAGGGCTTAGAGGGTTTAGGGTTTAGGGTTTAGGGTTTAGGGCCGCAGATTGCGGAGTGAGGGGCCAGCCGTTCACGAAGCAGTACACGTCATCCAAGGGATAAAAGTGGTCACGGATGGTCACCATCTGGCCGCCTCTAGGGTTGAGGGTGTAGGGTGTGTAGGGTGTAGGGTTTATAGGGTTTAGGGTTTAGGGATTAGGGTTTAGGGTTTAGGGTTTAGGGTTTAGGGTTTAGGGCTTCAGGGGTTCTGTCGAAACCACATGAACTCTCAACACTGGGGGTCATCTACCCTAGACGACTAGAATTTCGATTGAGGTAATACAAACCCTGAACGCTTGGAGGGTTCCCTTGGTCTGCAAGGTGAGATTTCAGGGTTGAAAGTTTGAAAGTTTTGGTGTTTATAGCGCCTGGGGGAGGTCAGGGGTTGCATGAAGACTATGTGAGTGATGCGCCATGCTGTCCAAGTGCGAGAGAGAATGGGGCTTATTAGAGTTTTCCGTTTGGGGATAAGGCGGCTTAGAGTCTGGAGTTTTTAGTGGTAGGCTGCTAGGAGTCGGTGTGGGGTTGCAACGTGGGTAAGTCGGAGGAAGATGTGCGCACAGTACCGCAGCAGAATCTTTACTCCCCTAAAACCCTTAATAAACATATTATTTGTCAATATCCTCTTGGGTTTTATATAAACAAAATGTTTAAAACATGACTCCCAAGGGGGATATAGGAATTACAAAGCCCACCCCTCTGAGCGCCCTTTGAAGGCATAGCCAGTGGCAAGAAGCAAAAGGCTACCTCCCTAAACCCGAAAAACCCCCAAACAGCAACGGCCCGAGGAGTAGCCCCCCAAAGATACAGACCCAAACCCTAAACCCTAAACCCTAAACCCTAAACCCTAAACCCTAAACCCTAAACCCTAAACCCTAAACCCTAACCCCCAAGCCCTAAACCCCCACCCCCCAAGGTCCTGGTAAGCGAAATGTCTTGGGACCATCGTCGACGAGTGGGTTCGCGTTCAGATACATCGCATAGCCCGCACCTTGGGGTTAGGGTTTAGGGTTTCGGGCTAGGGTTTAGGTTTAGGGTCCTGCACTACTGAAAATCGCTAGAGGTACAGAAACCCTGAACCCTAAAAACCCCTAAACCCTACACCCCCAAATCCTGATCAAGATTCTAAAGGTTGTCGCAAAAATGGTCATGTTCTGCAAGCGGTGCGCGACCTGGGCTGTGGGTGGATCTGTGATGCTTGGTGAGTCTTGGGAGTTGCACTGGTCTTGGGGACCAAATGAGCCCAAGAATTGGGGTCATGTATCCTGACTACTGTAATTTCCATTACGGTATCTGAAGGCTCATTTAGTCCTGCGTAGCTCCCACCCAGGTCCGTTTTGAGGCCGAATTGCACAGGACCCCGACAGGGATCAGAGCTTAGAGAGCTGACCTTAAGTCATGAAACCTATGTCAGTCATCCCTAGCCATCCACTACTTATAAGGGCAGGGCAATAGATGCTTAACCTATACAATCCTCTTAATTAGGGTTTGGTTTAAGGCTTACGTGCGCGATCGCTCCATTGCTGGGCTTGTGGGTGCTCATGGCTTCAACTGCTGCTACGACGTAGGGATGAGTCTCGTATCTCTGATCATATCATAAAAGTACCGCGAACACAGGTCACGGATCTGCGGTTTAGTGCTGCAAGAGTATAGCATAGGGGTCGGAATAGTTACTAATGGTATTCCCTTATAGGGTCCCTTGACAACTATACTCTAATAACCCCCAAAACCCGATTCGAACTATTCAGGCCCCTAGATTAGGAGTCTTGCTCGGGGTCAGGACCCTAAACCCTAAACCCTATCTCTCGGGCGTCTGAGCGGCAGCACAGTTCGCCGTCCAGTCGCCTCGCCAGCGGAAGCAGGCGTCCCCCACAACCCCCAAACCGTCCGGGAGCCCTTAAAGGGGTTAGGGTTTAGGGTACCACTGAAGTACCAAGAGAATATAGCCCGTGCACCCCCAAAAATCACACCTCGAGTCTGCCTACCACTCTAGGTCTAGGGTTTATAGGGTTTAGGGTTTAGGGTTTGAGGAATTCACAGGTCTTCCGAATCTAGGTGGACCATGCTTGCTTTGTTGGGGGTGCCACGTAGCCGTTCGTTTGGTAGTGTTGCCCTAGACCCTAAACCTTAAACCCTAAACCCTAAACCCTACAGGGGGGGGGGGGGGGGGGGACGAGAGCGTGCGAGAAGCAGGCTGTACTTCATCCTTCCTCGCTACTGCGAAAGAACCCTCTTTGCACCAGAAGAAAAATCTGCCGACACATCAGAACGGCAGTACTCCCATTAAACAGAAGCACACCCCAAAAACCCTCCAAAAATCTACAACAGAATGGCCCTTTTACAAGTGTTGCGCCATTCCTTTGCGTACTTTTGGGTCCAGGCGAATCTTCGTTAGACCCCCTGCCCGGCCACGGGGTTTAGGGTTTAGGGTTTAGGGTTTAGGGTTAGGGTTTAGGGTTTAGGGTTTAGGGTTTAGGGTTTAGGGTTTAGGGTTTAGGGTTTAGGGTTTAGGGTTTAGGGTTTAGGGTTTAGGGTTTAGGGTTTAGGGTTTAGGGTTTAGGGTTTAGGGTTTAGGGTTTAGGGTTTAGGGTTTAGGGTTTAGGGTTTAGGGTTTAGGGTTTAGGGTTTAGGGTTTAGGGTTTAGGGTTTAGGGGCTGGCCTAGTCCACCCATCACGCACCAGCCGTCATCCTCGGGCTGCTCGGATATGACGCTCCGAATTGGCCGGAGAAGATCCATCGCCTCTGGCTTGCTCCAAGGGTTTAGGGTTTAGGGTTTAGGGTTTAGGGTTTAGGGTTTAGGGCTTCTGGTTTCGGGTTTGGTGTTTCAGTGTGCCTATTAGCAAGAACCTGGATTTGTTGGTGCTTGCGGCCGTTCTTTCTGACTTTCTTTCTCTCTTGTCAGAGCCCTTGGGCGGCCGCAGTGGCGTGACCGAGGCGCACTGTCCCCCATATGTAGCATCATTAGATATCCGCTAAGCCCGATAAACCCGATAAATCCTAAACCCTTTTAACCCCATAAACCCTATAAACCCTAAACCCACCCCGTTGCTTTCGCCTTCTCGCTGGAAAGTGCGAAGCGGCAGCGCCCCAACAAAAGCTGAGACAGACAAAGGCCCTCCAGTCCGACTTCGAACCTTGGGGGCTAAATGAACCCTCAAAGGGTTGTTGGTTCCTATACCTTTATAGAATTATAGTAGTGAAGGGTATCTGACCCGAACCTTCGCACACACTGCCTGGGCAAGCTCACTCTGAAGTCGCTACACCTAGCCTTGGGTTCTTCTTCTTTTTATTCTTCTTATTCTTCTCCTTTTTCTTGCTCTGCGCGTCTTAGCCCGTCTGATCATATTGGTCTCTCCTATCTCTCTCTTTCTCTCTCTTCTTATTGTGCCGGGCATGAAGAGCAAGGGAGACACACAAAGTAAACAACAATCTCATCCCCCGGTCTTGGGAAGCGGAAGCAAAATACTTGCACTTCTACCTCTCTCTCTCTCTCGCTCACTGCCCCTCTCTACACACCTTGCTCGACTTGATCTTTGCTCTCCTGGCCTCTTTCTCTCGCTTGTTCACCGCGTCCGCAGAGCATCACAAGCCAATGTTATCTCAAACCCCTTCGAAGGGGTTTGGGTGGGGGGGGAGGGGGGGGGGGATCACCGTGCCTTCAGCTTCCGACAAATGCCCTGCTCCCGGTCCACGTCCGGGTACGGGAACGGCACCTAGCAGGCAGAGCTCCAACTTCACACGTCTCCTCAGATCTCGCGGATCACGGACCCTCTTTACCTACAGCTTCATGGGTTCTGAAGGGTAGTTACTACTAAACTGTGGGTAATCAGAGTCCCAGGAAGTATTATAGGGTTTTTGAGGGAGGGGGGTTCAAGGGGGGTGTATAACCCAAGGTTTCCTAATACTCCCTACTACTCCCTAAGGCTCCCTAAGCTTTTCTAGGTACCTACCCCCATTAACCCCCGCCCCTTAAGAACGCTATAATTGTATACAAACCGTCCAAACTCCACAACGCCCTATAATTAACCCCTGTGCCTCCCTGTGCTTGTCTGAATCACGTCCCCGAGCGCCAGCGAGCAAGAAGCGCGTCTGGAGCATGCAGACCCCACCAGGCATATCCTGCAGCTGCAAGAATATATACCCGGCTTCGGATTCCCAAGGCGTTGCGGGGAATTGTCGACAGGGTTTTCCCGAGACTCTAGCTACCTGCAGTTTAGTAGTAACTACCCTTAATTAAAAGATAACCCACAAACCTGTAGGTAAAGAGGGTCCCAGGTAGCGTCTACAGGGGCTTTGGCTTGGGCTTGAGGGCTTCTTGCCCATGATCTCTACAAGATTCAGACAATCGACTTCTCGATGGTGTATAGGAATTAGGACCTTAGGCCCTCAGCCCTAAGCCCTAAGAACCCCACTTTTTGTTGTAGGTTATACTTAAGAATCCGAGGAGGGGTTTTAGACTAGGAACCCGCCACAAAAACGGGGTGGTTCTCAGGTCAGCCCTACCAACCCTAAACGAGGAGAGGTGGTCAAGTTTAGGAGGCCAGAAGCCTTGGAGAAAAAACCTTCACATCGGGCGCGCCGAAGCGCTCTTGGGGGGTTGAGGGTTGAGGGTGGCTATAACACCAGACATCTCTACATTAGATCCCCTTCCATAATGATGTTGATATACATAATGGTGGTATGCTCCAACCCTAAGCCCTAAACCCTGAACCCTAAACCCTAAAGAATCATTAGGTGTTGGCCCTGCTGTTCCACAACCAGAACTCCTCAATGTCCGCATCCGTGGCTGTCGCAGCCTTGCCGTTTCAGAGGCTTCTTGGGGGGGAGCAAGGGGGGGGGGGCCAAGGGGGGGGAGTTTGACACAAATCTCGTCGCAAGGTCGCCGGTAAGTTCGTGCCTTTAGTCTGCAAGATGCCAAGGGGGGCCGAGTATGCAGATACTCCCCCCCCCTTTTCCATCAGAGCGAAACCTTCTGTTTTGGTGTGCTCGATGCCTCCCCAACATACACGCCTCTGACGCAGTGCGAAAGCGGGACTGAGAAAAGCCTTCTCGCCCCCCCCAGCGCCCAGACCAGAAGTTCCAGCATCACAAAACAAACGACTCCCAAAGCATACCCCTGCACCCACATAAAACTCTACGAAGCTACTTTTGGTGACCCTTGCCATGGTGCCAGTGTTGAATTATTCAAAGTATGGAGTCGAATACTGTTGTTTGGGGCTACCGTCCTGTGCAAGAAAAGACTATCGGGTATCCCACACACGGCAAAATAATACTACAAAGGAAGCGCTTGGGCCCCTAAAAATTTCGGTCTAGGTATCTACGATACGCGGTAAGATAGACCCTTGGGTATCTGCTCTGCCTGTGACGACAGCACAGGCAGCGACAGCAGAGCCCATGAGGCCAGCCGCTGCATCCTGTCGACAAGTACCGCCACACATAGCCCATCAGGGGTTTGGGGTTTAGGGTTTAGGGTTCAGGGTTTAGGGGGGACCAAACGAGCCTAAAATTGCGGTCATCTACGCTGGATACGGTACATGAACCGTAAACGCTTTAAGGGTTCGGTCCCCAAGGGGTGCTTCTAATTTCCACGTGAGCCAGAGCGGAGACAGTGAAATGAGAGAACGAGAGCAAAACGACAGAAGGTGCATTTGTCGGAGTCTCGCAGTTGCAGTTGGTAGTATTGCCACTGGACGGTCGCCGTGTGGCGTGAAAAGCCGTGGCAGCCTAAGGCGACCAAAGAACACTTCAAACTGTAGGGTTTAGGGTTTATAGCCGAAAGTCCATAAGATGGCCTCACATCACAAAACTCATGCCACAAACGGGTCTTAACCCCCTGTTCAAAAGCAGAAAGAGGCAGACGGCATGGAGCAGCTTCACGAAAGAGGAGAGGTAGGTATGCAGGCAGAAGACAACATATTGGCCAGCAACGAAGGGTTCTGCATCGCCAACCCATGACCAAGACGCGTTTATGCGCGAGCGTAGCATGAAATGTCAACTAGGAGGGCAAAATACTCGGATGGCCCTTAAAACCTCTGAGAAATATTTCGTGCAGATGATCCCCGTCAACCCAATAAGGTCAATACGACATGTCCCCAGGGCCTACCGAGCAGCCCCCCTAACCCCTAACCCCTAAACCCTAAACCCCTAAAACCCTTCCTGCTTTTCTCGTCCTAAATCTACCTCGGCACCGGCCGTTGTTACACCAAAGGTTCCCCTCTACGGACCCCTGGTCTGTTTGGGGGTTGTAGGTTAGGGTTGAAGGTTTAGGGTTTAGGGTTTACGGTTTTGGGTTCTGGGTTTTGGGTCTTGGGTTTTGGGTTTAGGGGTTCATCTTTTCGTGACAGCCATGCGAATCGGACAAAGTAATAATGGGATGCAGATGGATGGTTGGAGAGCTTGTCTAAAACCCTAAACCCTAAACCCTAAACCCTAAACCCTAAGCTCCTGAATATTCGGTTCGGTGCCGCTGGTAGGTGTTCCGCGGCTGTTCAAGTCTGAGCCAAACGCAGCGGCAAAAGGCATCAAGAGAGACCCGTGAAGAGTTTAGAAGGGTTTGGGGCTGAAAAACCTTCGCAAAGCATCTGGAAACAATGGATAGCACCCTGAAAAACCTTCGCAAAGCATCTGGAAACAATGGATAGCACCCTAAACCCTGAACCCTAAGACCCTCAACCCTAAACCCTAAACCCTAAACCCCAAACCCCCAAACCCTAAACCCCTAAACCCCTAAACCCTATAGGGAAACCTAGACAGCTGAGGTCCGGGGCCACTTCTTCTTAAAGGCGGCCATGCGCTCGCGGTCCGCCAACAGCGTCTCCTTCAGTGGGGACCAAGGCTTAACTTAACTTGGATTATAAGGGCTCTTGGTAGCCCAGCAACCATATCATAACAAGGGCACCCGTTTTTGGGTTTAGGGTTTAGGGTTTAGGGTTTAGGGTTTAGGGTGGAACCTTGAACCCTAAAAAGGGTAAAGGGTACCACTGGGCTACCAAGGGCTTACAAGGTTTCTAGGACATTGTAGGGCTTTTGGTTTTTCAAGGGGTGAGGGCTTTAGGGTGTTTTTGAGGTGTGTTTAGGGTTGAGGTCCCTCAAGAGATTTTTAGGGTTTAGGGTTGGCGGTTCAGGGGTGTTTCCTGGAATTACGGCCTCCATATTTTGGGACCCTAAACCCTAAACCCAAAATCCTTTTTTGGGGTCTGTTTATAAGGATGTTCTAGTTTCCCGGGGTATAAAATGATACCGAACAGACTTGGGTACAAGCGTACGAGAGAAGGGAGTGATGCTCAGAAGTCTGCGCCCTAAACCCTGCACCCTAAACCCTAAACCTTAAACCCACACTAGACATGCTTAGGATAGAGCATGCTCCAAACAACAAGGCTCCGGCCAACAACACAAGACACTTCCATGGACCACCGTGAGCACTACCCACGACTCTCAACTTCTCGAAGCCACAGGCCACAGAGGGGGGTTTAGGGTTAGGGTTAAGGTTTAGGGTTTAGGGTTTAGGGTTCAGGGTTCAGGGTTCAGGGTGTAGGGTTTAGGGTTTAGGGTTTAGGGTTTAGGGTTTAGGGTTTAACCATTTAACCAAATACTTGTACATCTGCGCAGCGCTGAAGCCGCGAGTACCCAAGACCCCATGCGTTGGGGCCAAATGAACCCTGACATCATCTACACCGAAAAAACGATAGTCCCTACAAGAAATATGGACCATAAACCCCGAAACCATAAACCCTAAGCCCGTTTAACCCCTATTAAGGTCTATAAACCCCGAAAACATGCACCCAAATCCCGCCTAATCCCTATCAAGGTTTTTGCACCGCAAACCCCGAAACCTTAACCCGAAGCCCGTTCAATCCCCATTAAGGTATATGCAGTGCACAACAAACCATAAGTCCCAAACCCGTTTCATCCCTATTAAGGTATAGGCACCGTAAACCCCAAAACCATAAACCCAAAACTCGTTTCATCCCTTCTGAGGTATACGCACCGTAAACCTCGAAACCATAAGCCCCAAACCCGGTCCATCCCTTTGAAGGCTTTTGAACCACAATCCCCGAAACCATAAGCCTAAACCCGTTTAATCCCTATTGAGGTATATGGACCATGAAGCCCGAAACCTTTAACCCCAAACCCTCCTAAACCCGAATCCCTATTGAGGTATAGTATACGGACCATAAACCCCGAAACCCTAAACCTTAACCCTGAACCCCAAAACCATAAGCCCTGAACCCTAAACCCTAAACCCTAAACCCTAAACCCTAAACCCTAAACCCTAAACCCTAAACCCTAAACCCTAAACCCTAAACCCTAACCCTAAACCCTTTTGGGGCTCATTTGGGGGGCCGGAGGGAGGACCCCTGCCACCTCCACCAGTGCCATGCTCACGTTCTTCCCGGAGCCGGTGCCGCGCAGGCGCGCGATGAGAACCTCCCTGGCAAAGCGGGGTGTGGGGTTTAGGGTTTAGGGTTTAAGGTTTAGGGTTTAGGGTTTAGGGTTTCGGGTTTAGGGTTTGGGTGAGGGGAGGGAGGGGGCTGAGGGTCTTGGGGGAAGAGGGTTCTAGGACCTTCTAGGAGCTTTGCAGCCTTTGTTACAGATTGCTTTGCGAGGGGTCTTGGACCCTATGCCCCGGGACCCTAGATCCCCAAAATCTAAACCCCAACACCCCCTCCCCCAACTTCTATGTATGTAGCTCTGCACAAGCAGAGCCCTCCCAAGGCCAACCACCCCCGGCTTGATCCCTCTTACAGAGTCCGAAAGTAGATCTTGGATCCCTAAACAGCCTAAACCCTAAACCCTAAACCCTAAAACCAAAGAAGCGCTTGGAACCCAACTCACAGCGCTTCTAGCTGCAATGGCTCAACCTCCAAATTCCCCAAATCCAAGCTCCCCCCCCACTTCAGGGCCCTAAACCCTAAACCCTAAACCCTAAACCCTAAACCCTAAACCCTAAACCCTAAACCCTAAACCCTAAACCCTAAACCCTAAACCCTAAACCCTAAACCCTAAACCCTAAACCCTAAACCCTAAACCCTAAACCCTAAACCCCCCCCCCCCCCCCCCCTCAACACTTCAGGGCCCCCGGCTTCTTGATCATCTGATCGGGCACGCAACAGTAGCAGCATGGCATGGTATAAACCTTGGAATGGCAGCTTGGGGTGTAGGGTTTAGGGTTTAGGGTTTAGGGTTTAGGGTTTAGGGTTCCTTCCAGTCTACATGTTCCCAGTACAATATGATTCAGGAACTTCAAGAATCAAACAAATAGACTTACTTACCCGAAACGGCGATATCAACTAGCCCGGCCCCTCGAAATATCCTGTCATCCCCCGACTGAGGTAGGAGGCCGGAGACGCCCTGTGTCCACAAGATCGCTCTAAATGAGCCTGAGACGCCTTGCCTAAGTTACTAAGCGGCTGTAGGATTCCCTAAACCCTAAACCCTAAACCCTGAACCCCAAAACCCTAACCCCCAAAACCCCTAAAACCCTGAGCACAAAACCCGAAGCCAAAAAGCCCAAGTCCTGCGTCGAACTGCGCTGCATCCCCCCACCCGCTTGGACCAAGTGAAAACCTTAAACCCTAAACCCTAAACCCGAGTCCCTAAACCCTAAACACAAAACCATAAACCCCAAACCCTAAACCCTAAACTCTAACCCTGAAAGATTTTTTGGTTCACAGACCTACCTTAATCGGAATTACACCCCTGATCCTTAAGGACCAAATGAACCCTAAAAGGGTTCATCATATACCCTGCTCTAGTACTCTTAGTTGCTAAGTTCATAAGCCCCCAAAAAGTGGCGTACACTTTCATTTTTATAGTGGAGTATAGTATCCCAAAAAGTGTAACGTGCACTCATTCAGCTCCGGAGTTACTATAGGGGTACGTGACCCCATTTTAGGGTTCGTTGGGTTCCCAAGTACTGAGCCGGTGGCGCAGCACCGGCACTGCGGGCATTTGCAGCAAGACTGTCGCAGCCTGTCTCGCAGGGCTCTATCTGGGAGATGGCAGTGCCGGGGGGGGGGGGGGGGGCCCCTTGCGCCTACTAGCTAGCTATGATGAGCGACATGTTCTGGGGGGACTTCTCGCCTCGGGCTGTTGTACCCGTGAACCTCAGATGGGGCTGCCATAACCCCTCCCGGTATGGTTTCGGGGGGAAAGGTCGCACTCGGACCTGCAGCGGGAGCCTCTTTCATCTCCAATTCCCGGCTGCGCACTCCCACAAAGCAGCTAAGCTCACTTGGAATTTCTTGGGTAAAATTCTCACGCCCTTTAATATTATAACCCCTAGTAAGGTATGTGAACCACGAACCCGTTTAGGGTCCATGTGGCCCTCCAGGAGGTCCGACCCATGACGGCGACATGCAAACAACGCCAAGCCCCTCCTTTTCCCGTCACCAGCTTTCTCGAGATGCCATG